CGAACCTGCTTTTTTTCTGCTCCCCCCATTCGGCGATGGGCCTTTGTCGGAGGAAAAAAGCCCGCACTCGGCGCGATTGCAGTGAAAATGATCGCCATGACGCGATAATTACATTTTAAATAAAGTCATTCTGGGAAGCGTTCAATTAACATTGTGCACAATTTTGCCACTGAATTACGAGCTCTGCAGAGTCCAATGGAATGACAATTATTCCACCATCAGAGGCGACACAACACCATCAGTTGGACCGAAAATTTTCACCGAAATTCTTCTCATCGCAAAACTATTTGAAGAGCGCTGCACGGAAAAAATACCAGCCCATTGAGGAATTTTTCCTAACTCTCGCGCTGCCCAAAATTATATTCCCGGCCATTCTCTCGTTGTCGCGCACATTTTCCGAGCGGGTGGAAAAATTTATGCGAATTCTCCGACTGAAACACAGCGAAGAGAGAGAGAGAGTCAATTTGTCCAATTTCACGTCAATATCGCCCAGAAATACTTTCAATAGTTTATCCAACGTGTAATTATGTTCGTGAAATTGACCCACTCGCTAGACTTCATATTCTGCACCCCATCGAAAATGCAAGATTAATCCATTTCCTCGAGATTGCTGAAGAGCGGAAGTTCGTCGACGAGAAAAGTTTTTAAGCTCTCACCGTCATGTGGAATTTGGAGTAAATCCCTCAGCTGAGAGGCTCTTGAAAGCGATAAGCTCATCGATAAATGATAAAGTGGCAAAATTTCCTTTCAATAAAATATTCAATCAACTATCAATTCATCTAATGTTGTAATTTTTCCGTCACATTCTCTAGTTCAACATCAATATGAATATTTAGATATTCATTTTTACCTTCAAATAATAAAAATTTGAATAAAAACAATAAAAAGTGATAATTTTCTAAGTACAAAATTGCAAATATAATAAAAATTAAGTATTTTTGACAAAAATTTTCAGATAATTTGATGCAAAATTCGCCACAAGCTGAATTGGAACACCTAAAATTATTACGAAATACAATCGGAACTCCAGCATAACTTTATAGCTAAAAATGCTGCCATCTGGCGGCAATATGTGGAGAAAATAATCAAATTTTCTAAGATCTTTTGGCAATTTTATTGTGAGTTCAAAAGAATGTCAGAATGACAAAACAACCCCAAATTTTGCATCAGTGCTTTTTTCCCATTGACACACCCCTGAATGAAATTTTAAGTGCGAACCATAAATTTCCAGTGGCGAATCTATATGTGTGCAGAATTGTTTATTGAAAGTGGATTGGATTGGTAAGATTGAGATATTGAAATCATACGCTATGCAAGGAGAAAAATTGTTATTTCTGTATCTTGAATCCTTCCGTTGAGGAAGTACGATAAATTCCTTCGAAATCTTGCAGAGCAAAAGCAGTGGATTTTCACCAGTGATGGCATTTTTCAGGGTGAAAAAATTACATCAACTGATGATTCCATGAATAATGCAAACACTCTTCCGTGCTCTGCACTTTTTTTTTCCTCCTCCACACATTGGAAATCCAGGCTTGAATCCAGGTGAGAGGGCACATTTGACAGTGGCTCTTAGCGCCATTTTTTCGGAACATGGAAAATGCGCAGGGTTTTGTGCACTGGATCGCATCAATTTGGCGAACGGAGTGAAAATCGATTGGTGAAAGAAAACACTTTATAGTTGGAGCGAATTGCCGGAAGGTGCTGGAGTGGAATGTGTCCAATTTGGCATTCAATTGATAGGAGTCTATCTAATTTTCACGGCTATCGCATTTTTCGCCCCGGAAAAATGTGCGCATTTCTAAGGGGTGAAAATTTCTCTCTCTCTCATTCCATCGTCGAAAGTCCCATGGATATTAATGAGAATTTTTATGCAGTGCCGATCGACTTACATTCACTCTATAATGTATTTAATATTCTTGAGAAAAATTCCTTCCCCTCTATTAGTGCCCATTTCACAAGCGATTAATGAACAAAGTCGCCCCGCGAGGGGTGAAATTTGTCCAAAGATGCCGAGCAGGTTCCGGACGCGCGAGCAAAGAAAAATGACGAGAAATCTTGTAAGTTCATCCCCATTAAAAGAGTTCATCAAAAGTGGTAATTACGTCCACAAACTTTTATGCACCCCCACGCCATCCACCCCCTCCCCAGAGCATTTAATGACTCCGCGAATGTTGGACTAAAAGCGGGGCAAAAACTATTGGGGGGGTTGAAGGGACAGAATGCCTTTATGTGAATCCGATCACCTTTCTCCGCATTCTCTCCATTTCCAACTATCAATTAAATCAACGGGGGAGGAAAATTGTTATTAGGCACCCATTTTCCTGGGCTCTTTTTCCCGCATCGTCCAGAGGAAAATTCTGTGCCCCGCGCGAGGACACAATGTGAACCACTAACATCTGTTCACGCCCAGCCTAACAGGGTGCAGAGAACATTATAGTCAAATTAGTGCTGCATTAGCTTGTTTGCTGGGCAAATTAATAATTAACAAATGGACTGTGTCTCTTGGCTGTTTGCGGTATTTCCTCGAAGCGCCCAGAAAACGTTGGGAAATCAGCCAGAGAAAGAGGAGGTCCAGTATCAAACTCTCCCCCTAATTGAGGAGTCCAATTGATTGACATGAAAGCCCAAATACACACTCAAAATCATCCCCAAACATTTTGTCTGTTTGAATTTGCATATTTAGTCTAATTTGATTTAATTTCTCCGCAAATACACTCCACTAAATATCATAATTAATTGTGATTCCCCCAAAAGCATTTGATTATCATATTTGCAATTGAAATAAATACACATTTTTTTTTCCCGCTCTTCCAAAATAATATATCGACTAGTCGCAGGACAACAAAACGCGCCTGTTTGTCTCGTTGAAATTCATAGTGGATCTCGTGCGGTGGTTGTGGTGAAAAATTTAGCAAAATTGCAGCCAAGTTGCGGAGAATGAGAGCGGCGTGGAAAAAATGGAAAAATTGTGTATGAACAAAATATTCTGGAGCATTATCACTGGGGAAATGGCGCTGTTGTGACACGCAGCGCTTCTGGTAGGAGGGCGCAAAAAAAAATCGTGTGTAATCCCACGAAATGAGCTGCGTGTGTGTGTGCGGAGCCCCTCAACTGACGAGCAACGATGTAATTTAATAAAAATTTTATGTCAAAATAATCCAGTGCCGGGAAATAAATTCCGTGTGTGCGACTTGCTCTCCGTGAGAGTCAATGGAGATCCCCTGGATGGGCTCCAAGTCACCACTCTCTCCGGGATGGAGTGTGGGGCGCTTTGGCGAGGAAGAGAACTTCCAAGGAGTGGCGCTTCCAAAACCAACTACGTGATCTGCGTTTTCATGATTCGCATGCGAAATCTTTTTCCTCCTCCTTCCGCCTCTTTTCCTTCAACTCACACGCCGAGTTCTATAGTTCTCCTTTTTTTTTCTTCTCCTATGCCAAGCAAACCCACCCCCGCCCTTAACTTGTACGAATGAACGTGTGTGTGTGTCAATGGGAACACGCTGAGATGAACAAGAAAGTCTTCATGTCATGAAGCAGTCTATTTTCTCACACCTCAACCCCTTGCCATGCTTGGTTCAAGCCCGGCTTAGCGAAAAAGACACAACAAGTCTGAGAATATATACCAGCAGGGGATTGATGTCTAAGGCGATGGACTGGGGCGAAAGCAAAGCTTCTGAGCTTAGCATTGACTCTCATTAGACACCTTTTGGGGAAAAAAAAACAGCAAATCACGAATTTAGAATAGCGCTGGACATGAATTTCCTTCCAAAAGTGATTTTTAGCAAATTTACATGACTTTTCTCACCTTGATTGAGTCTTAAGACGCGATTTCCATGCTCATAAAGTGCAATTTGACTTTATTCATATGCTAACGACATTTCTCCGACAGATAGATGTCTCTACTGGCGTCTGGTCACGTTGGCCAGTTGACAAGTGCTTTGGAGAGTATTTCTTTTGGATTTTTTTTTTGTTGCTGTTTGCGCCAAATGAAAGCTTTTTCAATTACCTACGCATACGTAAAAGTACAAGTCTTTAAGTGCAACACAGCCAACATAGCGAGGCTTGAGATTCAAATTTGGCCACGGTCTTTGCTGTTTATAGTAACACACGTTAAACGATTTTGTATAAAAAAAAAACTGAAAAATAACTTGCAAACATGAATCAATCTGCAATTGTGGCTTTAATTTTCAAGTATGAATATTAATGATGTTTGCAGTAATTTCTTTTATCGCGAATTTACAAATTAGAAATGATTCGAAAGTGTTAAATTGTAGATAAAAACATACAAAAATCAAGTTGCTAAGTCCAAATAAAGGCGATCTATAATAAAAATGTCTTCTAGACATTCCAAACTCATTATTTAAGAAGATTATCCGAGCCAGTTTTATGATTATAACATGGATTTGGAGCAAAATTAGCAGTCCTTATACGCACATTTCTCTGCATTTAGCAATATCTCGGCCCCAAATTGAGATATCGCCATAATCACAACGCCATTTGAAAGATCATTAAATTCTAATAATTTCCCGTCTTAAGGTAAATGTCTCGAAAATCGAAAGAAATATCGAATTTTTAGCATCAATTAGAAAAGTCGCTTAAATATATGCTTCATTTTTAATCATTTTGGCAACTTTTATATATTTCAAGCTTAAAATTAGGTTCACAACAACGATAAAGACTCACTAAGCTTTATTTCAGTTGTTTCACTGTCTTCAAGACCAGAGAAATATGATTTATGGGCTTCAAAGAGGTCAGAGATTTAGTGTTTAACAGCAAATTAAGTCAAAATGGGAATGATTTCCTGATAAATGCTATCTTCCATTTACATCCATTGAGATCAAAATCTGTTTAGCTCACATATGTATATTATAACTTAAGTATCTCTACTCTAAGGAGTCTCTGACGATGTGAAATCCTATCTCAATTGTATGTTGCTGAGGTGAAAAGGATCGTGCATCATTTCAGGTGCTGCACTCGGAATATATTGGCTTAATTCTCACCTCTGTGATGCCTCAAGTGGTGTTGTCCATTGGAGTTGCCACAGCAAGGCTGCTCATAATAGAAATTCCACGTATTCTCGTAGTCACTCTCTGCTTTATCCACGAGCACGAGCAGAACTATGAGACATGACAGGAGCTTCCAAAGTACTGACTTGTGCATTTTTCCAAGATATTCACTCATTTTTTCTCTCTTCTCCTCTTATGCAAGAATTATTAGTCTTTTTCACGATGGATTTCGTTCAGTCTCTCAGCGATGATCTATCACGGAAAATACCAGTGGCGAATATGAATTTCCGCGTCGAAGTTTCTTTTTTTTTCTTAATTCAATTAGAGAGCAATTTTTGCATTTCTCTGCAATCCTTGCTGCAATTATGCACTGACGAAGTATCGAAAGTGGACTTTTTGCAGTGCTGAAAGGCAGACTTTGTGGCTGTGAACGCGTGCAATTGAAATTTTTCGGCGTGTTGTTGGCCAAAAAATCTCCACCACCAGATTCTTATGGGCCAGTAAATGAAGCAATAAAGGCGAATGGAAAGAGATTGGTCTCAGAAGAATGGATAAACTGCGTGTGTGTGTGTGTGCTTTGAAGATGGAATCCATGGGAACCGGTTTGTGAAGAATTTTGAACCCAGAGGCCAATACACAGGTATGTTAAGTACAAGCAAAAGGTGAGGCACCAATTCACCAGAACCCACACCATTCGCCGTGGCGCACACAACTGTGTGTGGTTTTCTTCGCAAACGAAAAATACTTGGCAGTGATTCTCAAGATTGGCCTGTTGCGGCAGAGAATATTCAGCATATTCAGCCAAGTGTGAACTTATTTGAATGCCAAGAGATTATAAAATATTGGTGGAGATAAGATGAATCACATGCGATACAGCATAAATGTCTTGGAGTCTCTCTTTCCTTTTTTTTTCACTTTCGCACACGTGATATATAGCCAATGGTGACGTCTTGAGCTGCTTGGCAGACTCATTCTGACCCCGTGAACCGACGCAAGAGAGTAAATAACACTTCGATAGGCTCTCGTGAGTTGCAACTTTCCACTTGTGACCAAACAAAGGTTGCTGTTTTGCAACTAAGACGCACAAATCTAACAATTATCTCAACGCATTATCAGGATATTCTGTCACTAATTGACTTGTCATTTCTCTTGATTTACCTGAGAAAAGCGATCTCTCGCATTTCCCCGCGCTATTCGTGAAAGTTGAGACACACAAGTTGGGGAAATATAAGGAGAATTTGGCTTTGTCAATTTGATTCAATTTATATCTTCTCTCGACTCTCTCAATGAAGATGAATGACTTCGGGATGTTGAAGCGCTTCACTCGGGGATTTTTATTCATACCAACACCCCAACCCCAAAACCCACCCCCTCGCATGGATGATGGGGAGAAATATTCGATATCACGTTGAGCCATTCTCTCCTCCTTGTCGTCGTCTTGTCTTATCCATTTCAAGCATTCGCGAATTCCCGAAACAATCTGGGATGGAATTTCACCCTCGCGGGCAAGCATTGGGAGTCTCTCTCTTCATGGTCACGATTCTTTGCAATTGAATTATTGTTTGATTATAGCAAATGATTGGAGAGGTGCAGGAGCTTGTCGGGTAGAGGAGAATTGTTGAGCGATGAGGCGGGAATATCAATTGAAATGCGCCATGTTGTGCAAAAATAGTATAGAATACATCCTCACGAGTTCAATGGTTGTAGTTCATTATGAGAGAAATAATTGGGATTCCGTGTGCGGGAAGATGAGATTCTCCAGAAATATCCACCATTGTCCATTGTTTGCCTTTCAAATTTTCCCTTTCTCTCTCTCTTTATATTGTTTATTGACAATCCGCGCGCGAGGACATTTATTGGCATTATACAGTGGCGATTCGAAAATATGCGCCACTTTCCACGCACACACACACTGTCAAATAGCGAATATATAAATTTTTGCATTGTTTGAACGAATCATATTTCAGCGATAAACACAACCATCAATCAGACGCACGCTGTGTGCGGAGGCCGCGATGTTTGATAAGCAAATACTAATCAGGGATCGGTTGGACAGTGGTTGTGTCCACAGTCTGGCCAGGAGTGCTGACTGGGCGCAATCTGGCAAGGAAGCGCAGTCAAGGTAGAAGTGGTAATTGCAGCCCTGCAATTACCAATCGGCGGGACTGATAAGATCCTCCCTCAGCTTAGGCCATGCGGAAGGTTGTGGATTCTTGCTTATTTGGCTCATTTTCGCTGTAAAGCGAGACCCCAAAGGGTGGGGGATGGCGCTCAACCCCAAATTATCTCTTAGGAGAGTTACATGGGATTCGTGCCCGGCGCTGAGGGCGTCATTTTGGTCGGCAGATGTTTCTCACACAGCGAAATCAGCTGTCATCATTACGTGGAATCGGCAGAGGGACGGCGAGAGACGTTTGCAAGAGAAGTGTGGGATTCTCAGGGAGGCGGCGGCGGAAGAGCAAAACATAGAGATATTATTTCTGTATCTTCCACAGCTGCTCTCCACTCTCTGGAGGAACCCAATCCCGAGATAGAGTCATTTTACCCAAGCTTCTGAGCAACACACACACACACCCAAAAGCCTTCTATTTCTTCTTCCCTTCCTTTTTTTTTGTCTTCCAAACGTCTTTTCTTTTTTTTTGTGGGTTTCTCGTGTGTTTTGCCACTTCGACAGCGGAAATTCTAATGTCTCTATTAACATGGCTCGAGGAATTCTAAAGACATTGGCTTCAAAAGATAGATTCTCACATTCTTGATCACACTTCGGGAGTCGAGAAACAAAACCGCAGTCACTCTCACTGTCACTGCTTGTGCCTCTTCTCACTCAATGACGCGCCCCTGCCGTAACAGCACAGAGTCTTTCGGACGCTCTCTCAATGAAAGAGCCTCACAAGCACAACACACAGATGCAACAAAAATACCCAGAGTCGTTTGGGAACACAGAGGCCCGGAGCGCTAGTTTGCGAGTGAAGCCAAAATGAATGGCAAGAAACTTATAAATTCAATACAGCTCAACATAGGAAGAAATAAAGCGGCGCGAGGAAAAGCAGTCGCAACTGTCATCGAGAACGCCAAGTGGGCGGCTAAAGGCCAGTGCACACAGCTTCTCGGCGATCTAAAGGGCTTCCTTTCTTCTCTGAGCACAGCTGACAAGATGTTTGGTTTGGTGTGTTAGAATGTTCGAAACGAGACGGGCAACGGATGTGACTATAACTCAGCACATCCAACGCGTTCCACGGTCGAAGCCAAACTGAGGGGCCAAGCACGACCGTCGAACGCGGAACCGGCTGCTTGCGCAGCCCTTCGGCTGCCCGACGCACACACTCGGCCACCCGACCCGCGACTGTGACGGTGAATCGTCTGGAGCCGCGAGAGCGAGCGAGACGACCGTACGCCGCGCGGCGGATGCGTCCGCGAGCCGCGGCGGCCGATACACTGTCAAGCTGAGCCCGTGCATTGGCCCAGGTATTGCGCAGGTACTCCATTGACACATCTTCCCCATCAGACTTCCCAGTTGGCGGCCGCCCGACACTCGATAATGCGCTAAACACATCAAAGAGAGCCGAATTGTCCGGCAAATCCTTCTTCTTCGGCTCCGTCACCTTCGCTATTTTTCACCGCCCCCCCCCCAAGCCCCGCCGCCCGAATGTGCGAACAGTGGCCGTAAATTGCAGCAAACCCTCCAAGCACAGCGCCGGGGATTAGCGAGGGACAGGAAGTGGAGTTTTTCGGGCGGGTGATTAAAATCACTTCTCGTCCTTTTCCGCACTCGCGCCGCCCCGGCAGAAAGGTGAAGAGGAGGATTTCCGAGGATGATGAGGTGTTTTCTAGGCGCATCGCAGTCAAAAGAACATATGTTGGTTAAATTACATGCCAGAAACATAAAACTTGCCAACTTGTGGTCCTGCACAATTATTAAGGCTCTGGTATTCCTCTCCTCACAAAATTGGGGGATGCGGCTCTGGCAAAGGGATTAATCTTCGCTGGGGAGCCTTTGAAATTCACACTGGCACGGCAATCTGGGTGATTTCTAATTAAGTTGTGTCAGTCCTGATCCTTTTGAACATATCATACTTGACAAATTTCACTCAAATCCTTGTGCTCACTGTTTTTTTTTTCTCCCTGCACAGATTTTCCTTTCAGTTTGGGTGAAACCCTTTGAGCTGTTCAGTCTTTCAAAGCAAAATCCTGAATGTGTTTTAATAAGAATCTGTATGTGATCTATTAAGATTCTGGCTGTAAAACAACTCGCAATGAACGGTCAATTCCTCAAAAGATTAATGTAAGAAACACCTTTGCTATTCTCGCTAAAACAGTGTTAAGGAGTTTTAAGCGATTACAGATAATGTAAGAGAAGGGAAATTGTGGAATTTAGAGCCAAAGTAGCAAATTAATCCATGTTTGACAGTTATTTTGATGCAATTTCTATTCTCTCACTCTGTTTTTGACACGGTAAAACAATCTCCGGAGGTCATTTTAAAATTCCACAATTAGGTTCAATAAGTTGGCTAAATGCACAAAAGCCAGAATAGAAAATAACGCAAGTGGTGAATTTTTTAACACACCTGGTGAAATTTTAGTTCCTGTGGTGAAGTTTTGACTCATGTGGTGAACTTTTTAATACAAGAAGTAAATTTTTTACGCTCGTGGAGAATTTAAAACTCGCGTGGTGAATTCTTAACACATGTGGTGAATTTTTTAACACACGTGTGGTCAAATTTTCAATACATATTGTGAAGTTTTTAATACAATCGTCTGTTTACCTGAATTTTCTTTAAAATCAATACAATACATTTTTAACATTCCTTGTTTTAGTGGGAATCGCTCGAATTGTTAAATTTTTGAACGATTTCCTTTTATCACAAATCTATCAATTTTCTACTTCCCTCAGGGCAGAAAAATTGGGATGAAGAAAGCCCTAAGCTTTAATATTTGTCCAACAAAATTGTTTCTTGTACCTCGAGGTTTACCCCTGGACGAGCACAATTGGGATTCAGTTTATCCTGCCTTTGTCATTCAATTCCTCCTGAGGTATAGCGTGTCTCGTATTAATTTTACATGATGATATGACCATTGGTCAATTTTTCATGAGGCTCTGCCCAGCACCAGAAATAAACTCTTGGCAAATAAATTCATCAATAATTCGGCATGGCAACGGAAAGTGTATCAAAGGATTGTGATTGAGGCGATTGAGGAGAAAGCTCCGAAAGCCCACTGAATAATAAATGTTAGCTTGTGGGACTAATATTGCCTGGAAGCCAACATGCACGTGAACTGCTGAAGTTATTAACTCTTTTCACGGAGTGTCCATCAGTGTCAATCCCCCAGGACCTCGCCCTCAATCCTTGTTAGCAGCTCTGCCACCCCCTCTGAATAATCATTCACTGTTCATTAATCAATCTCAATGCTTCTCTCCAGTCGCCCAGATCATCATCACCCGTCATCGATATAATATCATCAAAGGGATTTCACTTGGGCGGCTGTCGGTCGCCCGAGGGGCGGCAATTTCAGGCCCCAACGCGGGGTTTTCCGCACTCGCAGCGACCCGAAATGTCCACCGGAAGCCCCTCGCAGCCTCTCTGGGGCTTTGGCGGGCGGATAATTATTTTTATGCTCCACTAGATGATTAATATGTTTGAAATTAATCACTAATATTGGCCGAGGTGTCGATGGTCCTTTCGCTCGGCATTCCTCCGACCCCGATTTGCGGTGGAATATCGGGGGAATTTCGGGGGTCCATTGATATTAATTTGCCAGTCGTCCGCAAACAACTTGCGCATCTCGCTCTCTCTCGACAATGTTGCCCCAACTTTGCCATTATTATGCCAAAATTCTACATACTTGGCATTACTTCGATTGCTCTTGCAACAAGGCGAGCACAATTCAAATTTCTAAATTGTTTTCTGGCATTTCCACATCGTTCGCACGCATTTTCCCGGGGAAAACAGGGGATGAAGGGGGCGGTGAATTTGAAAATTTCACGGCGAGTGTCACAACTATGCCAAGTTCCAACCCGGGGAGATTGTGTTCGAAAATGGCTGTTTGCAAATAGTTTGTTTAGTGTGTGCTGCTTTGCACTGAGAATAAATCATTTCCAAATTGTAATTTATGCTCTTCCATACTCACACAACCCACCCACGCCCCCTTTGCCGCCCACAGCGCCTCGTGGGAGTTTCTTGCTCGCTCAAGAGTCAATTTTTTTTTGATATACTCGCGCTTGCATCCAAATTCGCGGATCTCCGGATGCATAATTGAGACATGTTGCACAGCAGTGACGTAAGTTATGAACATGAATTTGGTTAGTTTTGCAACTTTTCGCAGATTATTCCCCGTGTTTGATATATTGAGGGAATTTCTCAGGTCTATTGATTAACGAGGAGATCGTTTTCTCCAATAGTCTCCGCGAGGCGAGCTCTGATGAGCGAAAAAACCGAAGAATTTCTCATTTGCTGTTCTTCAAGGGAGAGATATTCTGGTCAGAAGTGATGTAAAATTCAGAGGAAGTGTTTAGAAGTGAAAGTGCTTGAATATTTCCAATATTAATCGTTTAAAAGCTACTTTGAAAGTAAATAACCGCAATATTTTCGGATTTTTTACATTATATTTTACGATTTTTAGGTTATGTAACTAACTTAAAGCTAAATTTAGTGACTAAAGAACATCGGGAAACACCAATTCATGCACTTTAATAAAGATATCTGATGAAGATTACAGGTTTTCAATGGTTAAACTCACGTTAATTATGCTAAGATTGATCATAACCTCTAAAATTTTGTTTCAGAATACAAAATTGTCTATTTTAATAACTGTTTGACTGATTTTCTAGTCTAAAATAGTAAATTTGCCTTAAAAACATTGCGAATAAGTTTCTTTCACGGATTCTTTCAGATATCTTAAGGTAATTTTTACGTATCTAAAAAAGCAATTAAAAATTTATTCACATCAAAATATCTGCTGGAAACTTCAAATATTTCTTAAATACTCTTTCGCTGTAAGTTTTTTCAGAGACACACAAGTTTAAATTGAGTCTTTTCAGGTAAAAGACTCCTAATTTTGAGGTTACGATACTTCAGGTGGTTGGAAAATAAAGAAAACACATGTTTTAGGAACTGCCAAAGTTCTGGACGTGTTTGTGATCCGAAGAAATTGTGGTGTACACTGTTTAGCCGCATTATCTCCCCCTTGGTGTTCTTATTAGTCACTCGAGAAGTATAATCTTATTCCAAACACACACATTTTTTTTGTCTCCGAAAAGCGCGCCTCGTCCGAGGCGTTCTCATGGCAGAGCAATTGCTATCGATACTAAATGGTTTCCCAAGTCACTTTGGAGGAAGGCCGGCAAAACCTGAATCACGCGAGTCTGCAGTTGAACGTGTTGCTTTTAATTAAGTTGTTTCGAGCTCTCTTCCTCGCGCAAGAGCCGCGCAGAGATACATAATGGCTCGTTTGACAGAGTTTATTAAACTAGACACCACCAGAAAAGGAGGAAAAAATCCACACACCTCTCATGAATAACACATAATCCAAAAATAAATATCTCTTCAGCCACTCATGATGGACTTTTTCTCCTACAAAAACACACACACACTTTCCAATGCGCGGCTTTTGCAGTGTTTGGGTGGCTAAATGAATGTAGATTTTCGAGAGGTTATATTTTGGCGCCAAGGGGGAAAAGGGAAAATTATTTCTCTCACGCGGAAATTTATGCATGGAGAAAGAGAATGTTGTCTGGGATGGAAAAGTTTGCCGCATTTAAAATCTAATATCTTCAATATGGCTTTCAGCGAAATTTTCAAGCATTGCGCATATGGAAAAGTTACCGCCGTCGCGCGTCCACCCCGCGAGAATCATCCACCCTTGTTCGGAGGGGTGGACTCCACGAGGTGTTGAGAGAAAAGTTGTGTCACACGGCAGTGGGAATGGTGAAATTGTCCAAAAGATATAAATTTTTATTAATTTCCTCACGATTTCTGCCGCTTCGCCGCCCAATCGCGAAAAGTTACATTTTCCGTCGGACGTGGCGGTAAACTTGAATAATTTCATTAAAAATTCCACAAATCCAGATGTTGAGTGGCGAAATGGTGCAATTTGTGGGAAAGTTTTTCCACCCGCCAATGTCACCGAAGGCATAGAAATCGAAATTAAGTTCTTTTCACCAATATGTCACCAATCTCTTGGCTTCAATTGAGCACTTTTGCACCCCCGCGCGCGCTATTTTTCCAACCCTCTGAGGG